CGCGCCGGCCCATCCGCCTCGACAGCAAGCGCCCTACGAAGAGGGGGGATGGGCGGAGGGGCGGGTATGGCGGCGGGATAACAGCGGCGGGCGCCCCCTTGACGACGAGCGGGTGGGAGCGGAGAGCGGCGTCTGGTGTGCGCGACAGGCGGGCGGTGTTCGGCGTGTGGGAGCGCCATCACGGCCCTGTTGGCGCCGAGGCCTCGCGTGGGCCGGCGACTTAGCGCAGGATAGCTGCTGTGGCAGCAGCTGCACTCTGCAATTGTGTGGCACGAAAGCCGAGGTGGGCTAACTAGCCTGGAATCAGGCCCACCTGATAGGAGGCTAGTTGGCCCGGGTGGGAAGCGCGATCAGGTGTGCGTGCGCGTAATCTCATCAGCGTTGGCGCGTTCTGAGTTTTCGCACGCCTTACCATGGTTGGGTTTTCGGGGTGTTTTTCGGGGGTTCTGAGTGACTGGACATCATTAAGTGCCTATGGAGAGCGTATACTAGGCTATATCTACTGTGGCTAGGGTACACTAGACGTGAAGGATGTAGGTAAGAGTGAGGTTGTCATAATTCAAACGTGGTAGCAACCCCCGAGGTTAGCCCGAGGCGGCACGGACACACACAGCGGCACTCCCAAATCCCCCGTCCTAACATTGTCCGTCCCGTTATCCACCAAGTAACTTCTCAGCTTAGCACTAGCAACTGGCACGGGAAGATCCTCATCTTGTCAGTGGAATCTTGATCATATCCAACTCGGCCTATAGAGCAAAGCACGGTGATTATTCCGGAAACACAACACGTCACTACCAAATCATCCACAAGAACTAGTTGTACAGTATCATCTACAGCTCAGACTAAACGGCCTTCTCGCCAGCAGGCTCGTGCTCGTTAAGGTGGCCCGTCTCAAGGTTGTTGAGAGCCTCCTCCTGGCGATCGAGCTTGTAGAACGTTGCCCAGAAGAGGATACCGCCGACGAAGGCGAGGACACCCATGACACCGTAGTTCCATACGAGGAGCCTGCAAAAAGGGTCAGAGACGGATTCAGGATAACGAATAGAGACGTCAACGTACGGATCGGTGGAGAGCGACACGAAGGCTTCGCCGAGAGCATACGAGATGGCAGAGCTGAACAAGAACATGGACATGACGACCGACTTCATGTTAGCCGGTGCCTTCGTGAACGCGTACTCGAGACCGGTGATAGACGCGTAGATCTCGGAGACGGCGATGAGGACGTAGGACGGCGTCTGGATCCAGACGTTGAGCGGGGAGACCTCGCACGTCGGGTCAGCGGCGTGGTAACCGCAGGGCGAGGTCTTGTAGATGTAGTGCTGCAAGACCGCGGCGGCGAGCATAGAAAGCGCGCCAGTGAAAAATCCGGCGGTGATCTTGCGGAGAGGGGTGACGCGGATGCCGATGCGGCGGAGACCGGGGTAGAGGAACAGGTCGTGGATAGGGATAAAGATCAATAGTGCGAATGGGTCGAGGTTGTTAATGACTGGCGAGTTCATTGAGTACGCTGAATGCTAAGGAACGTGGATGTACTCACCATCATTGGGTACGCCGTTAGTGGTCATGGTAGCAGCCTGCGACGTCAGGTTGTTGGTGATCTGGTTGTACGGGAGCCACTGCAGAGTTGTGTAAGTAAGGGAGACGCAAGGAAAGGGCTAAAAGCCGACTTACGTAGAGAGGGAACCAAACAAAGACAGCGCATGCCTTGAACCCACGACGAACCTCGTCGACCCACTTGTCGTCGAAAGTCATCCAAACCGGGCGGCGATCAACAGGGAGGTGGCTAGGCTTGACATTCTCCCAAAAGCTATCATCGTGCATGCTGCGCCAAGTCTTGACCGGGTTGAAGGACCAGCGACCCTTCGCGGCGAAGCTCCAGAGGCGGACGGCGCGCACAAGGACGGAGCCCTCCGGCTTCGTGTGACGGTAGCGGTTACGGGCGATGAACAGGACGAGCGGGCAGCTCAGGTAGACTACGGTCGGAAGCATGAAGGAGAACCAGAAACCGATGTACTTCTCGCCGTAGGTCATGCCGATGGGTCCGACGAGAGAGCCGACGTTGGTGAAGAAGTAAACTGGTAATTGAGGTCAGACGGTCGCCAAACAGAGGGGTACGCAAGCGAAACTTACACCACATGTAGATGCGGGCAGTAGTCATCGCGGGGTCGACAATAACGCGCTCGCCATTCTTCTTCACACGGATGAAGGGCTTCAGACTACGCTGCTGCTCGGCAATGAGCGGCGAGATGTTGCTCTTGAAACCACCGGTACCGAGACCCATGACAATCATTGCAATAGACAGAACAGCGATAGAGCTATCTGGCTTTGTGATGACCGTGGGGACCGAGGCGACAATCAAGAGGATGTGGCCGATGAGACAGATACCGATCGCATACATGATCGTCCTGTAGCGACCAAGATACTATCACAGGCAAGATCAGGCTTCATACGAGGAGGAATAAGATGGATGAAACGTACCGTGTCGGCGATGTACGCGCCAAGCAGAGGAGTGCAGTAAGTCCACATACTGATCTCGGCGTTAACCTCCGCAGAAAGTGTACGTAAGCTGAGCACTCACGAGTTGAAAGTGATGAGACCGTTAGCGGTCTGTTGGCCCTTTCCGAGCGCACCGGACTGTCCGTCCTTGCCGCCGGCGCCAGTTCTTGAACCTTCGGGAAGAGGCTGTTGGATGACTGCAAGGCCGTGAGTGACGGCGGAAGCGAATCGAGGAAAGGAAGCTGAGACGTACAGTTCGTGAAGACAGCAGTACTGCCGTAGTAGGAGAATCGCTCCGCAGCCTCAACGAACGCGATCACTACGGACGGTCAGAATGGAACGGGTGCAACGGAAGAAGAACCACGGACGGTAAGTCGAAAAGTTGACGCGGTCTGCGACGTGGCGGAGGGTCTCCATCTCCTCCTCGGTCGGGACGCTGACACCCTCTTGCGCCTCGACGGTATGCTCCTCGTCGTCGAAGCCATCCTTCTTCTCCGAGATGATGTGTTCGTCAGCAGGGACGATCTTTCCCTGCTCGCGTGCGGCCTCACCGGCCGCGGCGAAGAACAAGTCACCATCAGCTTTATCACCCATGTTGTCGTATGAAGGCGCTCGATCCAGTAAAGTAGGCGAGGCGCGACGTCTGGGGCTGCAACGACAGGGAAGTCGTGCGCGGAGGATCCAAGAGCGGGGGATGCACGGGAAGGTGTCCGGGAGATATCGTCTCGACCTTATATGTAACGGCACCCTGCAATTCAGTGAGGCCAGGACTCAGCACGGCGCCTTTGGAGAAGTGTTGGCGCGAGAGGACATGGACCGCATGGTTCTTCCAGGCACGAGCGCGCTAGGTGATGATACACCGGAGCGAAGACTTCAAATTTCACGCCGCGGCATCCTAATACGGCGCAGCGCTCGACGAGGCCGTCGGCGCGATGAACGAACGGAGCACGACATTCCCGAGCTCGGGCAAGTTTTTACAGCATACAGCAGTTGCTCCCGTCGCTGACGGAGGAGAAGCTCGCGGAAGTTCGCGAGCAGTGTTTGCTAGATCCGCCCCAGCGCTTCTCTTCGCTGACCGTGGCAGCCGAGACTAGGCAAGAACGGGCGCAACGCCCAGCCAGCTGTACTTATCGAGCAAGCAGCTGCTCCTGGTCTTGGCTGTGGCGGCCGAGATAAGTCGTCGTGGACTTCACTATAGAGCTGTGATCTTCCACGATGGGGAAGGCACACCGGTGGAAGACCATATGGTGGCCTATCTGTCGTGTGGTGATGCAAGCAGGAGGGGCGTATTGCGTCTGGTGACGAGGCATATCTTCGTCTCTTCGCACCGGAGTCGTCTGTACCGGAGCATTGTGCAGCCTTCAGTCTAGGTTAGAGGTCCAGACGGTTCGAAGTTCGCGCTCTGAAATCCCGTACACAAGAGAAGGAGGAGATAGCAGTGTACATAGCATCACTAGATCAAGAAGCGTACACAGGTCCCGTCAATGGTCGCCGCCGGAGGAACCAGTGAGAACGTTCTGATTGCGACGTATGCGGTCGTGTGAGCACAAGTGAGTTCGTGTGTACTGGGCGTGGCGCGCGTTTGGCACGTTGTCAACGTTGACTTCCAACCACCACCACAATCACCTTCGCATTGAACTGTTCTCTCATCTGCTCTACTCGAATCACGATCTTAACTTGCGTCGGAAATAATACACTGGCTGCTGTGCGTAATTGGGTAGTCAACTGTACTTGCAACACACCAGCTTACGTAAGACTGAGACTCGCAGCACGGCCCAATCCGCCATCTAAACCGCGTGCGCGTTGTATCCTTGTTCACTTCTGGCAAATTCTGACGCATATTGAAAGGACTGCCATGTCTGACCCAGGTTCGCTATTTGGTTCGCCTCCACCATCACCAGAAGGCCCGAGGACAGTCGCACTTGCGCTGCCCGGAGCAGAAAACGTGGGGACCATTGCACTTCCTGGTTCCCCGATCCGTTCTGAACATTCCAATGACCTGCCAGCCTCACGCCTGCGCACGCGCACGGATATAATTTTTGACAATGACCGCTCGGACGGTCAAAGTACTTGTCGTGCGGGGCCCTCGCGGAGGCGTACGGCTCGCGTGCATGCTGAAAACGCTTTTCGTGACTCTGCGTCTCCCCGGCCAGAGCGTCCGCCGCCCCCGCCGCTTGTCCTGCCCGAACCCGGCGAAGCACCACCGCCCGACTTGCTTCGGAGTCAGGCTGCTTTGCTGGGCCACGCCGGTTTGATCGCCGGCGTGCGACCGGCGGACTTGCCTAGGGAGGGCCACGGAGACGGCGCGAGCGCTGCTCGGCCGATTGTGGTACCAGAAGAAGTTGCGCCGCCTACCGCCCTTCCGATGCCTAAATCGTCGACCATCTTGACGGCTCTTTCACGATCGACCAACTTGGCCCTCGTACTGTCGTCACTTCAACGTACGCTGAACGAATCGAGTCGGTCAAGGCAATCTACACTTCGCGGCGTCCGACGATCACGACGAGACATGGAAGACGAAGACGAGGAAATGAACACGCAGCAGCGACCCGCGAAGGAGCGAGACCCACTTGCAGCGCCACCCGTCAAGCGCCGGAAGTTACGACGCGTCCCTGCTGGAGCCGTGGATTGGGACGTACCATATCCGTTCAAAGACGGAGAGGGCCCCGAGACATATGAGTTGATGTGGCAGCGCGACCGACTACGGTCTCTTGTGGCACAATTGGTCGGCTTGTTGAAGTCAGCTACTCGTTCTGCAGCCGCACGCGAGTATCTCCTCCGCATAGGTGCAGATGCACAAGGACGCGACATCGCTTTGCAGGAAGCTCGAAGGATTGGTCGTAAACCAGGTCCAGCAAGCAGTGAAGGTGCCCAACGGCAGGATGGAGACGCCTCGTCCTCCAACGCCGATCCTCTCGCCGACCAAAGTGTGGTCGAACAGATTCTCGCCGGCTTGTACTCAATGCCCCCATCATCATCGACTTCATCTTCACAATCACCGCAAACGGCTACCAACCCCATGGACGATCTTTTCGCCTTATTTGACTCGACCACAGCTTCGCAACCTTCGACGTCCTCCCCAGACGTGTCCACCGACCTGAACGCTCTCTTCGACGGCGTAAACTTTGATGCTCTTCTCCCAGCCTCCGGCGAGTTCGACTTGAGCTTTCTCGACATGCCCCTCGGAGATGACTTCTCCGGCGCTATTCCGGAGCCCTCGAACTGGGACTGGAGCGTCATCGACCCCTCTCTGCAACCCATTCCGCCCTCGACATCCGAACCAGCTCAACTGGCGGCAAGTAGCACGCAGCAAGCACCCAGTCAATCCGCCCCGTTCTCCACCCAACCGCGACCGCGAAACACATCAGCGTCGTCGACCCCTCAACTAGCGCTCAGCCCGAGCGTCTCAGCGTACTCGTTTGGACCTCCGACTCCGCACACGGCATGGGATATGTTCAGCGACACAAATCTGGGTCTGGATCAGCCAGGGCTGGGTGGTATAGTACAACTCGACACGGGTAAGGGTCGACAGCAAGAGTCTTCGGTTGCGCAAGGTGCGTCCGGTCATCGTCAGCTTCGACATAATGTTCAACGTCGGGTTCGGTTCGCAGACGAGGATGCAATGGACGTCGATCTTCCGGATCTATCTCAGCAAGATCAACATACGACTGCGGGTTTGTCTGACTTCTTATCGAGCTCGCTGTGGGATCCTCAATATCTTGTCCCCATTTCAGGTGTTCATGACATCAGTCCGGCTTTTCAAGATCGCCTGTCTGAAGGGCAGTCGGCAGGCGCTCCGGTCCCTCCAATATCGGCCTCATCAGCCTCGATACCTCCCTCGCGCCCACACTCCCTCGCGCCAAGCGATCCCCTCCTCACCCTCGCCGCCACGCGCCTCAAAGACGACGACGTAATCGCCGCCCAGCTCGCAGCCGTCAGCGCCGCACAACAAGAGCGCGATGCGGAGTTCCTGCGGCAGACCGAGGAACGCAACGCGCAGAAGCGCGCCGAGAAGCGAGGAACCTCAGTTTTCTCAACGTCAACGCGGTACCCTTCCGTCACGCCCACGCATGTTCCATCCGGCCCTGCTACGCGTCGCGGGTCCACCGCAACACCATCTCGCGGATCTTCAACAGCACCATCAATTGCGACACCGGATAAGGGCAAAGGCAAAGCGCCCGCACCCGCGCCACCTATAGTGCCAGCCACGGGCAAGAAGGCGACTGAGCGCAGCGAGGCACGCGCGGCGCTTATTGAGCGTGCGAGGGCGAGGAAGGCTGCTATCGAGGCTGAACTGCCGAGGGCGAACTTAGCGCTTTGGGAGACGATGATTGAGCATACTGTGCTGGCTCATATGATCAAGGAGGCGACGGGGAGTGTGCCGGAGGATCCGGCGGCTGTGGCGGACAGTCAGAAGAAGGGGAAAGCGAAGGGGAAGGGGAGGGCGAGGTAGCATGGGCCGATTGCGTACAGTGTTGACGCTCCCCTCTGTACCCTCACCGGTAATTTGACTTATTCGTGAGAGCCATGGAGCCGGGAAAGGCAGCGAAATACAATCTCATAGTTAAGAGTCCTAATACAACAGCTCTGACAGACCCATGTCATTCAAAGGACCTGCCTCGGCTCCTCCGTGTAATCCTCATCGTCCTCCAAGAACCTCACTGTCTGGATAGATTGCGCTGCTTCCAAGACAGCCGCATGTGCCCGGTTCTCTACCTAGACGAACAATCAGTCTCAGAGGAAGGGATCCCAACATTGAGGACTTACTGATGCCGCGCGACTAGGACTACTCAGGAATGCCAAACGTTGAGATCTCGTCATCTGCTGTCTGCCTTGCTCCGGGTCCTCGCTATCGTTACGCTGTGGCGCCTTGCCGTTGGAGAAAGACGGCTCAACGACAAAACTGTCCGCGGTATCAGGAGCTTCTGAAGTAGTTTCGGGCTTGTTGATCTCGGGAGCTTCGTGCGAGTGCTCGGTACCCTCTGCTACAACCTTGGACGCAGGCACTCGTGTCGTGTCCGGTGGCGATACTATGGATATGTCAACGTCAACGCCTTGGAAGATGACACTGAACTAAGGAGGCCTACTTGGTACAGTATGGCCCATCCGGACCATCTCGTCCCACTCGTCCCACTCGGTCTCTGGTAAGGATCGTAGAGTGTAGCTGGTGTAAGCGAGACTATCTATCCCCGGGGAGGCTGGGCGCCTCGAACGGTAATCAGGTCGTGTTGCCGTCGCGACCGGGGGTGGTATAGAGACATGTGGCTTGATGCGAAGAGCGCGGGGCGCAATGCGATCTATAGCGGATTCGTGAGTTGCCGCTACGACGATGGATGTTAGCGCATGCACTGACCGATGCTGTTCGTTGCAGGAGGAGATTGACTACGATGGTGTTGATCACCCCAATTCGCCGCATACGTGGCTTCTCTGCTGGGGTACGACTCAGTATAAGCCAGAGGCGAATGTGCCAAATGTAACGCCGCATCGACACTGTTCTCTGAGTTATACATCAGGAAGACGCCTCGCGATCGTGCACGCCCATACAAGGAGACGCACCTGCACGGCTTGATTCAGAAGCTATGGTTGATGAAGCCAGTGGAGAGCGGCGCTGTTCCGTGCTCCGTCTTTCGATGCTATACCTCTTGTTACTGAAGGACTGCCTTCGGCTGCTTGGCGGAGTCCTCTTCGAATCCGGGCTCTGCGGAGCCGAGGCGTTCATAGAGGGCTCATCGACACTCGCACCTGTGTTCATACTGAGGACTGAGGTCGGTAACCCCAAGATCGATTACTCACCAAGCCGTTTCAGACTGCCGGAGAGCATATCCGCTTCTCCAGGATCACTTCCGCTACTTGTTCTTGTGCTGCGACTGAGACTGAGCGTAGGCTTGAAACTACTCCATGTCGCTCTTCTTCCCTTCTCCGAGACTAGGGTTGCTGAACGACTAGGTACGGTCGTGGCCAAGTCCTCAGGCGTGTCTATTAAAGTGTCAGTACGACTCATGCAGTCTCAAATGATGGATGACGCACTCTGAGCTCTTCCGAGCGGCGACAGGCTCTTGTATATGCTCTCAATAGGCATTAAAGCAATGTCGCTTTCCTGGAAGCAATGGATGAACGCCCGTATCACACCACGCAGCTGGGAAGAGAAGAGTAATATATGATCATAGCGCTCATTGTTGACCCTCCAAGGGAAATCCGATGGATGAGACGAATTGGCGTCTATGCGCCCCGGGCCTCTCCAACTGTCGACTTTCATCGTGTTGAGTAGATCGGCGATAAGATAATGGGATAAGTGATTCGGTTCGACCCTTCTGTTGTAGTCAGGCCCTGTTATCCCCGTCTCTTCACACAAAGAGTCCACGATTGGCCACCACACATGCGTAAGTCCAATGACCGCTTGCGCAGCTCCCGGGCTACTGGCCCCAAAGTCAAGCACGAAAGTGGTAATAGAAACGACTCTGCAATGCGCACAGTCCAAGGCTCTTCCAACTCTCGGAACACCCATCTTCGTTTCGACGGGTCCCATGAACGCGAATGACTGAAACGTATCGGGAAGAAAGCCAGAGACACCGCCCTTGTGGAAGTTCTTGCAACCCTTCAACTCTTCCGCATGCGCATGCGGATGATTTTGTTCAAGGTAGTCTTCGAGAGTGCGGGTGTTCATGTCAGATCGTCTAAAGCCGGGAAATAGGTATGAAAAGCAACGAATCAGGAGGAACGTTGAAACGTAAGTGTCAGAGGCGCTGGGGCTTGAAATGGGCTGGGGAGCTATGAAGGTAGTGAGATCGATCACGAGCTTCGTAAACGCTTCCACAACTTGAGGTTCAAGGGCTTGGTCGCCGAGCGAAGACACATGATTATTCAGGAGATCATGCAAGAAGCGAAAGCCGACGACCACTCTTGCGTTACGCTCTGCCTCTGGAACCGTGGGCGGCAAGTTCTTGATCGACATGATAAGCCAATGCACGCGAGTGATGATATCGGTCTTGGTCAACAATAAGCCACTCAGCGAACGCTCTTGAAACTCCGAATCCGTATTAGAGCGTTCAGACTTGTAGGGAAAGGACAGCATCGGCTTCACAGCTGAACAGAACATCATGATCTCATCGGCTTCGTCAGCGTTCTGCCAGACGGCGTCTATTGCCTTCAGGACCTGTCGAGCAGTGGGACTCCTCGCAACTTCTTTGATCTCCGTAAAGCTGTTGCGCACTTTGAAGCGGAATCGGAATCGGAAATCGAGACTCTTCTTGGAATCGGAAGCAGAGGCGTACGTCGTTGGCAAATGCGCACTTCTAAAGCTGTTACGCAGATCGCGAAAGTAGCAAGACACACGTGTCAGGAAGGTCTTGATAGTCATATGTGCAAGACCGACTAGAGCAATGCAAAGCCGCAGCCAAGTGGTAAACGGAGTGCGATATGGAGATTCGGGATAGATTAACGGCAAGACACTCAGCAGCAGGTAACACGCTGCCGCGATAGACACTGCCGCAATGGCGAGCCAGGCGATCGCATGATTCGCGGAGTATAAAAAGATGAGGAGACCGACAGCGAACAACGACACCGCTAGATGAATCAGGGAGACGATGATACCGATAGCGTCCTCCATCAAGAAGAGGTCGATGCCCGAAGAGATGAAGAGATGAATCGGCCCTAGAACGGTGGGTGAACCGCGACGCTGGGTATTTTGGGCGTATTGGCGTGACCACTGTTGTACGAGAGTGGCGAGCATGGCACCGAAGACGGCGACGATCAGAGACAAGAACCAAAGAGCATTGACGCATACATCTGTGACCGAGGGCTGCGAGCCAGTTTCCGCGGACTGCGAGGCCGATGACGTCACCAAGGCATTCGCACGGGTTCCGTTCGAGAGCAGCGCAGCGATGTCGGACAGAAGGGCGACGGTCTCGTCACCAGTATCGGGAGAGAGGTTGGGATAGCTTGCCACGACGAAGGTCGCAACAGTTGCGGCGAACAAACCGGTCTATGAATGTGAGACGTGAGATGCCTAGCCCTTGGATGCCACGGCGACGTACAAAGATCAATATGCCATCCGCGTCTCCTTTCCACCGGTCGATCCGCTGCTTGTCCTGCGTTTGCACTTCTGCGAGGTACAGAGACCAGAATTTATCGGTTGGCTGGGCAAATGAGGCATCTGACGTTGCGTGTTCAATGTGAAGTTGCATGCCCAATATGTGCGAGAGCCGGAGGACGGACCATTTGTTGTACGCGAAAACTCTGTAAGCATGCAAGTCTGAGAGTCTACAGTGTAACATGCACTCGGTGACGTACCCATGCTTGTGCACGATAGCTGCAGGTCGATTGTTTCTAATCAAAAGGGGGATCCCTTTGCCATCCGAACCATCTGCGTTATATACCTAGCGTCGACGATCTATAGCCAGCGGTGCGAAGCCTAGATCAATCAGCTTCTCTGATGATTACCGGACAATTGGAGCAGGAAAGTCTCGACGCGATGGCCATTAGCTGATCATTGAGGCTGAACGAGTTTACGGTCGTTCCTCAGTACCGCCGAATGTTCGAGCACTGCGATCGCGACCAGTGGGTGCAGCGTCGTCTCCGTTTGAGAGAGGTAGAGCGATGAAGATACACATGTCACATATTCCACCCACATCTGTTGCTAGCATGTGGAACATAGACTATATAGTGCCCTATCCGACCTTCTATCAGGCACGATGCGAGCGAAGCAGCGTTGAAACCCGGGATGTCCGTGGGCTATGGTTTCTTGTACAGTTCATGCAAAGCGTCTGATACAAATCGAAACTGCTTCAGGCCTTCAGGAAACCTTCGCGGTTGGCACAAAGTTGGCATGAGGCATGGGCTCGAGGGGAAAGTCCGAATGGTGCTTGCAGTGATGCCTTCTGATGCCTTCGCGCATTCCGTAAAGTGCGTGTATTGTACGAGCAATAAGGCTGAGATGTGTCCCTAAAGACAGAGTGTCACTTGCATATGCAGCAAGCGAAGTACAGCCAATCCTTGAACGCGCTGTCAGACTCGGCTTCGTCTGCCCAGAGCCCGTCGGAACCGGCGCCGCGCTTGCAGGTGTGATGGCAGGACCCGAGCTTCTGTCGCAGGTATCTTGAGTACCTTGCAGGGGACACTAAGTCTCCAGCTTACTCATAGTAGCCACAAGACAGTGACGTACTATTGGTGTGCCCGGTGGCTTAGGTCGATGGTCGACGCAAGAGACCAGAGACAAGGGAGGCAAAGGGCAATCAACCATCCAAACGAACGTTCCCACGCATTCTATTCCGCGAACCGCGCGGGCCACAACGATCGGTGAACCTGTTCATGCCGCTCTTGCACCCTGTTGAATTTTCCTGCCTGTGTACCTCTACTTCTATTACTACTGCACGCTATTTCCTAGTTAGCACGAACAGCTAAGGAGAGGGAGGTAGGCTGCGCGGGACATCCGCAGGTCTTTAAACTTCGCGCGTCGTCCTTAGACTCGGGAAAAAATCACGAATAAGACGCCGCGTCTGGACGAGCGAATGGTGGAGATCTCACCTGGATCTTCCGAACCGCCGGGGGTCTGTGCGCGGATGCGGTTGTCGTTGCCTTTCCCCGCCCCTTCGCCTCGCCCGGCCCTCTCTCCGGATATTCTCGTCTCCCGCTCTTCCTGGTCTCGATAAATTCGCAATTAAATTCCCGTGGCACAGAACGGGCTTCTAGGCTACGCTATGGCGGAAGATATCACTATGGAAGTTGAACATGCCGGCGATATGCACCCGCCCGTCGCTGTCGCGCAGCCGCTCACCGCACCACAGAGCGGCTCCCCCTCCCCACCGCCCGAGCTCCCCTCCTACGAACCCGACGAAACTCTCCCCGACGAATACGAAGGCGAGGAACCGGCCGGCGAAGCCGAAGAAGGCGCTGAAGGCGCCGAAGAAGAGGAGTCGAGCGACAGTGAGAGCGACGAGTCGGACGACGAGAGCGGCGACGAGGACGACGCGCCGCCGCCGGCCGCCACCGCCACCGGGCCGCTACCCGCCGCCCCGGCCGATGCCGCGCCCGCTGCCACCAATGGCGACGCCATGGCCGTCGACGTCCCCACGCCGGCAACGCCCGCCGCTGCGCCGCCACTCCAACCTGTGAATATTCTGGTCGCGAAACCGAAACAGAAGCGCAAGGCGCGCTCTGCCTCGGGCTCGCCTCCCCCTCCGCCGCCACCGCCCCCTCTGCAGACTATACGCCTGGAATTCCCGCTAGGAGGACCGGATAATTATGAGGTCGATATTGCCGCTCGCGCGGTCGAAACGGGGCAGCGTGCGCCGAGCCCCGGCCCGCCCGTGCCGATCATCGTGCCACAGGAGGAGAACTTGCCGGAAGAGCCCGCGCCAGGCAAGAAGCGCAGGAGACGACGAGTGAGTATTATTTTCTTCATTTCTACCTCGTGCTGTGCAAAGGAGGACGAGGAGAGGGAGATGCAGTTTGATGAAACACCCTTGCTGACTAAGACCTTGCTTCCTTTGATTTTCTAGAATCTCGACTACGATCTCGGCGATCCGTTCATCGACGACTCGGACCTCGCGCTCGACCAGCGCACATATATCGCGCAGACGAAACAGGCTGGATTCTATGTTTCCTCGGGCGAGGTTGCGTTGCTGAAAGACCGCACGGCCATTTCTGCTTCCGCATCGGGATCGAAAGGGCTCGGAGGCGGCGGGCCGAAGAGCAAGCGCCCGGCGCCACATCTCCCGAGCCCCGAGCCGTTTGCGGGACCGAGCAACTTCCCCGGTAGCGCCCACGCGCCTATTCATACACAGCTCGGGAAGAGCAGGGAGCAGAAGGAGAAGGAGGCGCGTGAGAAGAAGGAGAAAGAGGATAAGAGGCGAGAGTCTAACGCTGGCGAGGGCGTCAATGGTGTGAATGGGGAAGTTGGCACGAGGGATGCGCCTATCGCCGTCGTGAGCGACGAGGAGGGGACGACTAATGGGAAGAGGAAGAGCTCGTCGGGCGGAGATGGCTCCTCTAGAAAGAGGAGGAAAGTCGATATGGTGAGCGAAAATGGTGTTCTATGTATGCTATTCGTTATACTGAAGTGTACCATAGGATGCATTCCATCCTGAGCTCAAGGAAGCGCTCGCCGAACTCCGTGCAGCCAAGGAGAAGGAGAACTGGTCGACGAAGGGCAAGTTCCCGCCAGGGATCAAGCCGCTCTTGACACAAGTCGCTCTGAAGGCCATCATGCTGAACCAGTACGACGACAACTTCTTCAACTACATGCCGGAAGTGTTCCCATATAATCGCTTCACTATGAGCGTACGCCCCTCTATTGGCAATCACATTATAGGTTGAGGCTGACCCAGAGGCATAGAAACTCATCAAGCGACTGGTGTTCGCGGATCACATGGCGCTCCTCATCAAGCGTCAAGATGAGATCCTCGCCGAGCTCAAGACCCTCGCGGATGAGAACTTCGACAAGTCGCGCGAGGAGTACGACCGCGCGCTTCGTGCATGGCGTAAGCCTTCCCGTCTCCGTCACTACCTACCCCGCTGACCACATTCTTCAGAAATGCGCATGGAGAAACAAGGTCTGCCAACCGACGGCACCGCCTCAGCAGACGGCACCCCCAATCCGCAACCCACCGCCCCCGACGCCGAACCCGCCAACGGCGCCGCCTCCGCGCCCCCCGCCAAACGCTTCAGACTCACGGACAAAATGAAGGGCATGATCTGGAACTTGGTGTGCCTGAGCAACGAGTGCTGTCGGATCGAGAACGAGAAGAGCACGCTGGAGGGGCATGCGCCGCAGGTTAGCGAGCAGGGGTTGCGGAAGGTGCTTTATCAGAAGATCGTGGCGGCGTTCCCGGAGGGGTGGATGAATTCGGGACAGATCTCGCGTGATGGTATGTGCTTCCTCTCTGATCGGATCTCAGGATGAGAGGCTGATTGTGTGTGCAGTGAGCGTGATCAAGAAGAAGTTCGAGACGGCGATGAAGGAGGACGAGGTTTAGGCGCCGTCAACCTGCCGAGTCGGCGCGCTTCAGATTCAGTTACTTGGTTACCCCTACCGTATTTCCTTACTTTCTTGCTTCGGTCTTTATCCAGGACTGTGTACCGATATCTTCATGTGTGTAATTAGCTCTTCATTCCGAACTTCGCCCCAGATTCGTGTCCTATATACTCTTTCACTCACGCCGATCGCCGTATGAATGCTGTCATTAAAGGTACAGAGTGTGATTCTTGCTACTCATCGTACATGGAGCTCTACAAGGGCCGACCTCGTCTCACCACGAATCCGTCGGATTCGACACCTTCGAATAACTCGCCGCACCCTCTGACCTCTCCCTTCCCCGCTCATCGCCCATAACATGCATATCCAGCGCGATAGGAACATCCGCATCCCATCTGCTCAGCTGCTCGCTAGTATGTAGAGCTCGAGGTCCGTGTTCGTGATATGTCCTGTCGAGCGCGACGAGGATGAAGATGATGAGCGGGTATATCGTCTGCGTCAGGTTTTCAGCGCATGCGCCACACGAGAGGACGAGAAGATGGAACGTACGGTCATCTGCGCCATCCCGGCGTTGAGATGGTCCACGGCGGTAATCTGGATGCTGTATGACAGGCTCTCGACTTGGAGGAAGGTGTGTGTTGCGATGGGCATGAAGAAGCTGACGCAGTAGAAGATCTGCGGGTCATGATCAGAGTCAACAAAGCGCTGATGGTGGCACATGTGGCGCACCCATATGCCAGTATAAACCAAGCCAGAGTCAACGAGAAGCTCCATGAACCTCTCGACGACCGTCCGCCGATCGCTTGTATGAGCGTGGTTCGCCAGCTGGCTCCTGAGCAACCTGAAAGTATCTCAGTCTCGGCAATGAGCAGACGTTCGCCGGCGGCCCTACCACACTTTGATTCCCACAAGCATCGTCGCGCACGCGTTACTAGCAAGGGATATGAACGCTGCCATGATCCCTAGGATCGTTTCGCTGAACACGGGCACGTTCTGTTGTACCAGGAACTTGTTCTGATAGCCATTGTTGTCTGCTGTCACGACGACATTCACGATGTTGAGCGCAAGCGTCACCAGCGCCAAGCCGACGGCAAAGACGAGTATCGGGCGTTTATTCTTCCATACGACGCACATCCTCCAGAGAACGATGGCATCGCCCATCACGGCCTGCATCGTTTGTGTCAGCGCGAGAAGGTGATTGACTGCGAGGGAGTGTACGCACGTTGAGAGTGAGGAGTACGACGAGTGCCGTGACCGGAGGCACGACGTCGTTGTCATTGCCACTCTGGTTGATGGCGTGCGCATCGGCAGTAAAGTACTGGACAGATACAGCCCAATGTGCCAGGGAGAAAGCATACATGACTGTTGCTACCGCTGGCACCAGTCCTGTTGCAAACGATAGTCTTCGTGTATGCAATTGTCTGCGAAGAACATCGAGACAGTGTACCAGTCGAGGGTTAAAGTGACTTACCGTAGCGTTGTCCATGCTGTCACTACGAAGAGGACCGTTACCAGTCCTGCCAAGTGAGATTAGTGATCATGAATCTGGCGGGTCGTGAGAGGATAGAAGTCGATGCATACCGAACAGGACCGTCTCCGTTACGATAGGCAGCAGATAAGTCCATGCATTCGCATAGTCCGTATGTATACTGAAGTCTTTGGAGTTTAATGTTGCGTCATCTGGTTCACCGAGAGCGATACCCAGAGCACTGAAGTATGAGAGGTGTTATCAGTTCCCAGTCGGGATTCCGCTGCAATGCATGGGGGAGCGCGCACCTTCCATCTAATAGCCTGTAGAGTTGATGTAGGGATAGACCCCAGTGCGTTATCACTGCTATGGATACCGCCCATTGGGACAGTATAAGTGGTATTCGGGCGTCCGACCGAAGTTTAGCGCTGGAAGAACCGTTCAGCATGCGCGTTCATTACAGCTGCTTGAATCTAACCTGATCAAGTACGATCCCAGAGGCACTGAGGCAAAAAGGACTCCTGTAGACATATATCGTCAGTGCCATGCCTTGTTACTATCCCTTTGTCAAGACTTACCGACAATGAAGCTCTCGAACAGCAGTGAAGGCACGATCGACGATGTGGTGTAATCATGCAGGGCATTCAGAACCTGTAGTTCCTGGGTATAGTTGTGCAAGGATTGTGGTAGTGAGGTTGCCATGATCAGCAAAGGCAGAAGGGAAGGAAAGCTTTCCAGTCGTATGCCCTATGCAGCCTTTGTAGCGATCGGAACGCTGTGCGGAGATGACTTTGATCGGCAACAATGTCTATTGAGCGGATGGATCCCATCAGTGCTAAGCCTTGCGAGAGGATACAGCGATGTGTGTGGAGGCTATGCAGGTAGCCTACAACGCATATCGCCTGCAGATCGGACAGGAGCAAGTCTGGAAGGCGGGAGTGATGGCGGGAGTGATGGCGGGAGCAATAGGCGAACTCCCGTGGCGACGTCGTCAGGCTCAGCCGAACACGTCGCACGCTCGCTCTGCACTGCCCACCCAATGCCCACCTTCGCACTACCGACAGGTGAACCGTCCAATTTCATTGAAGAGTAGCATCAATGGCAGGATCAGTCTTGAGAGCGGTTGGATACAAGAGATAAATACATGATAAGCACTTCACTCCGACGTTGGAGCGTCCAGTTCTGGCGGGATCTGGTAATACAATGGCTATGGTGGCACCGTCAGAATGCAGCACACACAGCGCAACGCAGGTCTAATGCAACGCACCGTGTTGAACACATGATAGAAATGCCCTCTCTTCCCCCCTTCCCTCTCGTTCCCGTAGTACTCCTGCGGGAACCAATGCTCGCGCGGCATGTCCTCCTTCCAAGACCTGATGTATCTCCTTTCGCGCTCCATGAGCCTCCGCGCACCATCTTCCTTAACTCTCCCAGCTCTTGGCACGGAGAACTGTCCGATCTGCAGCTCGGTATCCGTGATCGTCGACCGTGAGACGCGCGCGTAGGCTGTGCGGTGTAGACCGCGGTAGAAGATGTACTCGCACCAGCGGTCCCAGTCTTCGTCGTCGATGTCGTGGACACGTCCGTCGTTGACCATGATATCGTACGGCGCAGCTACAACATGGCATATACGTCAATACTCCACATCATAACGGAGAAATGAGTAAACGCACGACGCGATGCATGTGGCTTGGTGACCACGTATCCAAGGAAGACGACGGGGAACGCGCTACTACGCATGATCTTCGCCAGCGCCATCGCCTGCAACTCACGATCGAGCGGCGTCTCCTCTGTGCACACAAGCGTATCAGTGCCCAGGTTCAGACTCCTTGAGGTTCACACTACGCACCCTGTCCGTTGTGAGCGACCACAACAGTAACCTTCGCCCCATATACGTCCAGAACCGCCTCAATCGCAGGAGCAAGTTCACCATCCGGTGACGGTAGAAGGTGATGTTTACTCCAGAGGATTGGGAACTTGGAGAGAAGGACCGCGCCCCAGGTATGCTTGTTCGGTCCTGGTCCAATGTCAACGTAGTATCCCAGTTCACGCGCCATCACTCGCGTCCTATATAAGTCTCAGTTAGGGCTCATGGAGAAGAACGTCGAAGAGTGCTTGTGATACGCACAGGTCACGATTGCCATATACGGGCCGCTATAGACCACAACTTCAGCCGCCGCTCCAGACATGCGATACGTGAAAGACGTGGACATACATGGAGATCCGTCTCCAGCAGTCCTACAACCTCAAGCTGCATATCGCCGATGAGGTCTCGCATTCGCCTCTGACTATCCCGCCCGGCATCATCCAGACCAAAATGCACAGTCCATATACCAGCGTTGAACGTCCGCGCGCGAGCGTGCAGGGAGTGCGGAGCCGGTACCAAGCTGGGCTGGTAGAGAGGAGTGACTATCGCAGCGAGGGCGAGGATTGCAGCCAGACCCAATGTCCGCGCGCGAGTTCCAGAAGGTAGAGCTGGAAGGGGCTCGATTAAAGTCGTGGACTTGGTGATACCGCCAAGTAGGGAGCGCCAGTTGAATGAGGGAGCGAGCATGAGCATCTGAGCAGCGAGAACCCTATGAGTGTCCCTCATCACTCTATCACTCCCATAAGTTACATAGAGCAGCACTTACAGATCGGTGTGTTCTCGAAACGGCCCAGCGCCAGGTACGAACGCGTACGCGACCGTGAACGTCCCCGCAAAGAGGAAGACGACCCATACAACCCACGCGCCACCGAAGACTCTCGCTGCTCCTCTCGCACGCGCAGCGCGAGCCGCATTTGCCAGTATCATCGGGAACGAAGCTCCCAGGAGGACCACTTGCAGTAGAGCGCCAATGTATGCGGGCCAGCGGGAGGAGTATATGAGGAGGTACGATGAAGGGAGCGCGGTGACGAGGTAGAACAGCGGGTGCAATAGGATATCGGGCAGCGCACGCGTCACGGCGTAGTCGTTGTCGGTTGTCTTCTCCGTTCCATGACGGTTAGCGATAGTGATGAAGCACTCGGCCGAGAATACAGCAGGAAGTGCAGCGCCCACAGCCGAAGCCACGAACACGAGCGCGGCATGGGTGTGCGGATGCGGACCGGTCTTCGGACCGGCAAATCCGACCCAGGACCAGGCAACCAGTGTTGCGGGGTCTGAGAACCGTTCGTGCAAACCGTACAAAGAAGCGCCGAGCGCGAGGGTAGGTGCCAACCATTGTTCAGTCCGTCGATCTAAGGCCGGTGCAGATGCGGGTGGCGGTGGTGGTGACGATGCTTGACGTAATGCTTGCTCGACGAGGGCGAGCGCTCCGAGAGTGAGGAGTATTCGATGGTGACCGCCAGAGTTCTCGTCAACGATGGGCCACACTGCGGCATTTACGCTCACAGTTAGTGTGCATCGATGCTATATCTGACTAAGCGATGCTTACGTGGGTTATTCCCGTCGTTCAGATGCTTCGAAAGCGATGAAACAAGGAGTCCGAGGACACACACTGTTCATGAATCAGCTTCATGGCGGCGTCTCTCTAGCCACGAAGGGTGCTTACCGACTGCATGATACCCTACTCGAGGACTATCCCATTCACCAGCCAGTCTCAGACATGTAGCGATCGTGCCCGCCGCAATCGCCAACAGCCGTGATACGACACTTTCGCTTCTGTACGCTCCCAAGCACATGAGGCCGAAGGCAGATAGTCCCACTTGTGCATGTCGTGTTCCAACCCAGCGACGAATGATAGGAAGAGCGAGCAAGAAAGGAGACAGTGTCGCCAATGTCGTGAACTCGGGACCGGCGAGCGCAAGCTTCCATATGGAGAAGTAGAAGAGGCTGACAGGAAGAGCAGTGATGATCGTCCATGATACGTAGGCTAAGTAAGTCTCTCAGTATGCAAGCAAGGATTCATAGGGCGTACTGAGGCTCACCGAGATATACATCAGATACAAAGGAGGTGAATTCGCGGACTTGGGCTGTGAATGATAGTTCTGCAGCTGAGAAAGAGTCGACTATCTGGACAGTCACTGGCTGTGAAGGCGTCTCATTGGCTCTTCAAGAGTCGAGTGGGACAAAGGATCAAGACATCATGGTGAGCAACACTGTTTCATTCGAGACGGTGAATACGGCTGTACATTTCGTTCGCTTTGTCATTGCTGGGTATGGGCAGTGTTGCTCCGTCGGGTACAGTTATGGTGAGCTGAGTCCAGCCGAACGTGAGTGATTTACCACCGCATTGCTATTACATATGCGAACCTCGAGTTTGCTATCGTCAAAGAGCATCACTGATGTCGAGTCGTACGCAATGTCGAGGAAGATGAGGCTCCACTCGAAGAAGGCGTAGCGCGTATATGCTATAAAAAGGACTCAGCAAGAGGCATGATCTATCTGAGAGAAAACATACCACCAGGAACGCGATGCACCTTGTGCTGAACGTAGAAGTAGATCATGGGTACAAGACTGAGCCAAAACCTGGGCGGAGGGTTACTACCAATAGACCCGGCATATGATCAGTGCTTACGCAGAAGCGCTTATCAGTCTGGACATGAAGATCAGCTATGTAGCGCTGCCAATGCAAGGGACTGCCCTGACCGCCATTTGCGAGCTCGTCGCCCGGCGCTGTCGAGTCCGGCCCACATCCATGGTAAGTCGCAGACGATGTACAGAATCATCAGGAAGTCGTGCGTGTCGCCCGAGTCAGACGATGTTACAAAGACCCAGCCGCCGCACGATAGGGTGCGGATGATGCCGGTACATAGCAGGAGCAGAGAGCGCGAAGGTTGCGTAGCCCGCGTTATACAATAGGAGAGCAAGAGAACAGCAAAGCGAGGACCTACGGCAAGTCAGTGAGTGAGGTTCAGGATGCGCGTTGTTGTGAAGCCTTACCTGCGTTGAGAGCAATGAGAAGTTGAAAGATGTTGCGCTCTGGGTACCAGTCGCCGATTCTGGGAATGATGTTGTCTTGAGTTCAGAGTCTCTTAGACAGCTTCTGTACTCACGTTGCAGACACACTCGGGAACCATTCTTGAGGCCAACCAGCCACGCCATTCTTCACGATCTTCTTATAATGTAGAGTACAGCCAATGATGAGAGCACTGAGGAAAGCAGCGAGGGACAGTGCCGTATGTACACGCGCGAGGGTGGACGCGCGCACCGACGCGGTCATGATGGTACAAGGTGCCACAACAAGCAAGACAGCAGCAGAGCAGATGGTGGTACAGGTTCAAGCACGGGATGGTACCCCAGGACAACGGTAAGGGTCCCGAGACCGTTCACATCCGTGAATGGTGATGACAGGATCATTGACGAAGACGGGCGCTCAGGAGAACGCGTCGCGCGCGCATCTCGGCCGGGCCCCGGCGCTTGTGTGAGGATCATTCGGCGTGTCATTTTCCGCGGAGGTCCTCGACTCGAACCCGCGTCCTCGCGCGGACCTCCGATATTCCGACCTCCATCCGGACCGGTTATTTAGCTAGTTACCGTAGCCTGACAATATATAAGGAGCCCGTAGAGTATAGTTGAGGGGACTTTTTCCCCGACCCCGAATCTGAGTCTACATTCTGGTTCTGGTTGTGCGTGAGAAAGTTCTCGTGTAAGGATTAGTCTACGGACGAACCTTACAGCTTGACGCGGCGCGGCGTCTCTTCCTCGAGCGTCCATCATGGCGCCCGTCCCAGTCACCGTTTTCACCGGCTTCCTCGGCGCAGGAAAAACCAGTATCATTTTGAACCTATTACCACAACTACCGAAGGGCTACAAGGCCGTATTGTTGAAGAACGAATTCGGCGACGTGGAGGTCGATTCCCAGCTCGCGAAGCAGAGCAGTCTCACGGCTGTCAGCGAGATCCTGAATGGCTGCATGTGAGCCGACGCATTGTTTTCCGCTTACGGTCGGTTGAATGCCTCAAGAGGTGTTGTGTCTTGGTGGGACAGATGAAAACGGCGTTGCTAGAGATCCTCGGTGGGCGTCATACCTGTCAACCCGTTTTGATCTAGTACGTCTAACCCCATTTCAGAGAAATACTCCCCAGATCGGATTATCATCGAGTGCTCGTACGTACTTTGCATATGCTAACCGAGGAATCAATGCTGACCGCGTCCAGGGGATCCGCGTTTCCGGCAACTCTCGCGTTCCAGATTCGTGAGCTAGAGCGAGAGACGAACCGCGCACTAGCGCTCGATGCTATCGTTACGGTCATCGACGCAGAGAACTTCGTAGGGTACGAAGACACGAGTGTCACAGCGCGCATGCAAGCGCAATACACCGATCTCCTCGCCATCGTAGGTACGCCCTGCATACCGTTTTGTGCCGTCTATCTAACGTGATGTCTGCTTCACAGAATAAATGGGAGTCTATCTCGGAACGAGCTCTTGACGATGTACTGGAGCATCTCAATACACTCAATGAGCTCACGCCCAAAGTTCGCACGGCACACGCGACCCTCGACCCCAAGCTCATCTTCGGTCTGGACTCCAAACTCTTCTTGGATCCTGCGAGCATACCCGGTGCCGACTCATCGCATCATGAAGAAGTCGAGACGGCCACCGTATGGCGCGGCTCCAAGCCTGCTCATACCCATGATCATGCCCACGATCACGACCATAGTCATAGTCACGCCGACGATCACCATACATCCGATGCGCCTCCACTGGACGAACCCGTTGTCACTGCCGCCCTCGCGCCAATCTCGAAGGAGACGATCTACAGAGTCAAGGGCTTTGTCCGGCTTCCGACAGGTTTACGCATCCTGAACTGGGCTTTCGGTCGCTTTGAGCTCGTCGATCTAGCCGGAAGCGAAGATGATCAGGAGCTGGAGGGTGTACAGGTTCGGTTGACGGTCATGGGCGAGCGTGGGGAGGTCAAAAGGGCGGCTCGAGCGTTGGCGACCAGGTTAGGCGCCGTTATGACATAATGCGCGCTTGCAGTGGATCGCAGACTCGTTACTACACAACTTGAGCATGAATCAAGAAAAAGGTTTCCTGTCTCATGCTGCTTATCATGTGAATGAAATCAAAATCATATTCATGCGGTAACCAAGTACACTCAATATCAGTCCACACTCAATACGACGATCCAAGTGATGACAGACAACGCTCACACCGCGTTGCACAAACCGCGCGAAGACTGCCCCATCGTGGCAGGGGAGCAACGACACGCACTCAGCGAGCGAAGGCTACATGAAGGCCGGTCAACACTCTAGGCGCATGGCTGGGAGGAAAAGGGCTCACAAAATCCAGGGCGTACTTGCAGGAGTGGCACAACGGCCCCTTCTGATACATACGCAACTCCCAAGAGTATTACATCGTGATCGGTTATCATTCCTGGGGCTCGGGATCCTATTGAGATCCTCCAATGTCCAGGACTTGAGCCGGGGACCGGGCCGGTTTTCGTAGCTTCCTGTCAAGGAAACCATCAGATATATGTGTAATTGTTATGTAGTCGGCGTGTACGAACTATCATGAAGTTCCGAACACAATTGGCCACGACGTGCGCCAGGCGCGCGATTGGTATTGTCGTTGGGTCTTGCTTGTACGGATTCCAAGTCCAGAGACTCACGGGCCTCTTGCGGTATTTATATCCAGGCCACTATTGCAGATATGAGCTTCATGTAAACCATATCGGTCAAGTGCCATGATTCGACAACTCACCGCGATCTTGACCGCTACGACACGAGTCGGAGAACGACTGTAGAGTCGCTGCGGTGGCAAGAGCGTTCCCATATCGCGGGCCAAGGGCACGCCAACAGTGCCATTGGTCTGTACAAACCAGATCGGGAGTGCATCCAGAATTTCTAGCATAGCTTCCCTACGAAATCCGCCTTTGTACCACGGTAGGCACGGGTCGCTGAATGGAACTATAAGACTGGGGTCGGGTGCTCTTATGTCCATGATTACCCAGCGACGCCATCTCACTGCTTCTGGTATGTCGTCATCGCAGCTCCAGACGATATCCGACTCATCGAATCCGGCTTCCGTATATGCGAACATGAGGATAGCGTCCCGAGGTAGTCCATATCGTTCAGCGTTTACGGGCGTGCGGCCACGGTGTTGATAAGCCGAGACTAGGTAGTGATTGAAGTCCGGCAAAGGCAGAGCGCTCGAGTCCGCATGTTGCCAATTGCGGTACATCATCCGTAGAATGCGGTCGGCCACGATGTCGCTTGACCCAAGCACGAGCGAGAGCACCGAGTTCTGGTGCAAACCTTGAACGAAGTTCCGGGCCCAAGCGAGGTCGGCAGTGTGGTAGGGGTTGACAGACATTCGCGAGTAGGAGCGAGCCGGTGAAGGATGGCAACAGAGCCAATAATTCGCCTTAAGTACTTAGAAGGTGGTGTGGCCAGCATTGACCGTATACCGTAGGCGTCTCTAGGGGTCAAACAAAACAACTGCATCGCGGCGCGACCACTGCTGCGAAGGTGGGGACTATAAGGAGTTTGTAGCCTGTTGCATAACCATCAACACTGCCACGCCGGGCCGAGTGAAACCGTTGAGCGCTAAAGCATCGGCGACTGGCAGTAAGCCCGAGCTGACATACTTGAGTCCTGTGAGATGAGAGATAAAAACATCCATCCTATGAACAAGAGAATGTCACGGTGGATTTAAACGAGTTGTAGCTTGCTGCACAAAGAATAGCACCGCCGTCAAAGCTCTAGAAACGTATTGGGCTCAGGCTGACGCGCTTTTGATCTGAGCTTCGCATACCATCGTCTGCTAGACAATACGCGTCGGCAGTTTCGGGCGCCTCCTTCACAATTGCGAGATATCTATGGGCCGACAGTTATCTGTAGCACACAGCCCACCAATCCAAGCCTTCATTCGGGAAGGTTACCAGCGCCGGCCACCAGTAACGCCCAGTTTCGCGGTACCGAGAACGCCAAAGCTGAGTCCAATGGTCCTGTATAGCACCCAGCGGCCTCATATAGCTTCTCCGCTGAGTGAGTAATGACTGGGAGTCGCCCGAGTAGGTTCGGCCGTGAACATGATGGGCTGGCGGATAGATTGGGTCCCAGAGAGTTACACTTCCGACTCGCTCTGTGGAGAAGACATGCGTCTGAATCAGTCTCTATGACACTGATATGCTCATTAGACGAACATACGTAGGCGAACAGCCCCATTCCAGAATTTTCCGAGGCCATTCAGGAGGATCAATGGCCCCCGCAGAACCAGTCACATTCGGAACATATGCGTCTGTGGCGTAGATTCGACCTCAATCCTTCTTTTGAGAATGTCAGAGGGAGTGGGCACTCGATTGAAGCATTGTGGTCCAAAGGATATGCGTGTCCCTAGCATATCGTGAGATAAGATGGACAAAGTCGAGGAGATAGGCGTACCAACCAGTATCCTACACAGTATTGCTCAATCGGCCCTGCCTCATACTCCCAGCCCCCGTTTGCATCGATATTCGAGCAGCGTGCTGTGGCAATGGAGAGCAGGCATGAGTTTCCCTGCCGGAGTCGTGATGGAGGTGTGAAGTGAAGTTGCGAATCTTGCGATGCCCTTGGATCGTCGCGGGCTTCAGGCCGTGTGCTGCTTCTCAACCACCACCATCACCGTGGACAAACGCCACCTATGAGATTTACTCTGTGATGATACAAACCCTTCGGTCATCAATGCTATCAATAACAGTCATTGGGAACTTGAACGTAGCCTCTCGCTCCGCGTCATCAGGCGTCAACGTGCACAGGATATGTGCGCTGAATTGCTGCGTTCTCGCCATCTCGCTGCAGATATGCTGATGTTCATCACAACTTTAGGATCTGACGGTCCCTTGTCCACCTTGTCCACCGGTGCGGGTGGTGAAATACTGGGTTACGATAAAGCCAGAGACGATGGCGTGGCGTGTTGATAAGAGATTCGATGTATCGTACAAAAGGAGTACCCCTGTGAAGCTACGGGTGCAATTCATACATAGAGATGTGCACACGCAGAACTCGCATGATTCTTGAGCTCGGCTCCTGGCGGCGCAAGCCGTTACCGCTTCTGACATCTCAAGTATTGTAGTAGCCGCTGGGTCCGGGCTATATCGCGCGCTTTCATCAGTTCACATTCCTCTCCAAAGGATGGCAAACACATACAGAAGTGTAATCCCCTGGTACACTAGGCATGGGCATTGATGATGCCGCTCCCCTGCTAGAGTAAGAAGACTGAGGGTACGGTGGTTGAGAGTACGAGGGCGATCCAGGTATAGGTGGTGGCGGTGGTACCCTCGATTGCCCGTACTGGTAATCAATCGTATTCGGCGCAGGTGAGTAATATGAGGACGGCCGTTGACCAAATGGCCGTTGATCGTAAGGTTGTGGCGGCTGGAAGTGTTCCTCTCGATGCGGTGCCGATGCAAAAGAAGGGGACGACGGCTCAATCACTTGGGAGTACCGCTGATTGAACTGTTGAGCCGAAGGGCTAGGTAGAGCTTGTGGTAATGGATGTCTGGTCTGAGCCGTATTGACTCGACGAAGGTCCATATCCGGTCGCGAATTGCGGTTTGGGCGTGGAGGCAACGTGGTGTTGCGATTAAGCGCAGGATTCCGATCATATACGGAATTCGTTGCCTCGAGTCTAGAGCCGTAGCTGGAATCTGTACTTGGACCGGATACGGGTGGTAAAGGGGCATGGGGTGCCATCGATGGATTGGAAGGTATGGGGGCAGGGGCCAGCGCTATTGGGACGCTGGGTGGTTCCGCTGCAGCATGGATTGTAGGAACGTCTGCCAGAGCGCTGGTCTCGGGTGCAGGGTCGTCGACGACGGTATACGCAGGAGGGCTTTCGCCCGTCTCGACTGTCTGTTGCGTATATGACAAGACTGTCTTCACATTCTCCAGCGGCTCGATCTTCTCCTTGGGCACTTTACCAGTACGGCCGTCGCGAGTACGTCCTAGCCAATACTTGGAGTCGTACTCCCCGGTGACCACGATTTCGTTTGTTCTGACGAATATCAGCTCGGGCGGATCAGACTACAAGACCATTCATTAGCACAACGCATACGTATAGCCTTTGCACGAGATGGCTTACATCTCGATCTCGAGCTTTCTCGTGTTCAGCTACCGCACGAGCCTTGAACGGAAAATGAGTTGTCAGGACGTTAACAGCATCGGTGGTGCCGATTGACTTGGCAGGAGCAGCAGTACCGTCGCGTAGTCGAGAGAAGATTGAAGCGATCGTATTGAGTATACTGGCGGCTTCGTCGGAGTTCATGATGCCCTCCTTCCGTAGCAAGGAAACGTTCGTACGTATCTGCTCGAGTATCGCAGGGTGGTCCATGGTGGTTGGGGAGATGGATGTTCGGGAAGACAAGCGACGTGACGGATGCACAATATATATCAATTAAGCGCCGCATTGGACACAGCATCCCCACGTTCTTGCCTCACAAAGGAACGGAGCTAAGGGTAACGGCCCTCATCGAACTTCGACGAGAGTCAAAGCCAGCGATGTCAATGTGCGAGAGGCTTCGAGAAAGGCGCCGGCACTGTAAGCTATGACAACGGCGTCCTGAATAGGCGAAACGGATGCCATGCATGCGTGGGCGATGATTTAGGCGATACCCAAGTGCGTGTGTTCTCGTAGGTTTGTTTCGATCGTGGCTGTGCATCCATCTATGCAGGTACTCGGGGGTATGATGGATAGCCTTGTGCACAAGAAGAGTACTGTAGAGATTTGCGCACGCAGCGAGTACATCCAACGTTACATAATATAGACAGTCGGACCGCCGATCCGCTGATGTCCAAACCATGGTGGTTGAGACAAAGCTGTGCCGACGTGCGAGCGACCTCGGCGCCGCCGCGAAACCCAGCTTCAACCTAGTCCATCACGATCTCCTCTAGCAGCCTCTTGTATACAATGCCTGACCACGCTGCTCTCCTGGCGCACATCGTGGCGCAAACACGCCAGAACGTAGAGTTCCTGGTAGCCCAAGGAGAGCTTTCGCGACCCGACGGAAACGTGATCTTGAATAAGCTACCCACTGCAAGCGACATCTCTGTGCGCGAGCTTTCCGACAATACGCGGAGGATGGCATTGCCAGAGGCACCAGCGGCGCCATCAATACCATCGATGCCGGTCGTGAATAATGCCCGGTCGCCACCTCCGCCAGCTCCTACACGTCGCACCACGCAGGCGAGGACGCTTTGGGCGTACAACGAGGATGGGTCTGTGAGTACAATAAACATAATTGGCTCCTCGATTCTGTCGCTGACTTTCATTATCAGGAACCGAATGATCTGTCATTCCGCGCGGGCGACGTGATCGAGATCGTCGACGAGACCAACGCGGATTGGTGGACAGGTCGCTATAACGGGCGCGAAGGTCTATTCCCATCCAACTACGTCGAAAAGATACCATCTTCTTCGCCGCCCTCCTACCCGCCGCCGAACAACCGTACCTTCTCTGCCCCTGCTGGGCCACCATCCAACCAGAACTACAGTAATACTGGATACGCGTCGCCTCCGCCTCCGAACCCAGGGTATGCTGGTCCGCCGCCACCACAGCAGTATGGGGCTCCGGCGCCCTACCAGCAGTACCCCCAGCAGGTGGCACCTCCACCTCCTCAGCAACAGGTTGTACAAGAAGCACCGCAGCAGCAGAAGCCCAGTCGGTTTGGCGGTGGCGGGCTGGGGAACCTCCTTGCCACCAGTGCGGTTGGCGGTGTGGGTTTCGGAGCGGGTTCGGCCGTCGGTTCAGGCATTGTCAATGCCATCTTCTAGACTTGTCTCGTGCTACTATCTTCATTCTCGAGATTGTACTTACGTACGTCAGGTTGTGAGCTTCATTCACGGACATGACGCTGTTGGGCATCAGGGGAGATGTATCTATGGGATTCTGCGCATACCACTAGAATGACAATCTTCGTGTCGCCTTTGAACATATCCACTGTATTTGTGGTCAGCACCCTCTGGGATGGCCACATAGCTGAAACGACGATCAGGACTCATCCTCGCAGTGCATACCCGGATGAAGCCATACAGTCGAGCTACTATTCCTGGGACAAGGTCGCCATCATGCCGAAGAGCATACGCGTGCGATGTTTAGGGCGCTGATACAGCGTTTTGGTACGCGGAATTCACTCCGTGAAGGCCCCCATACCCGTATTTCGTGATGACCACTGACAACTTCGGCTATAAGTAAGATGTAAGTCCTGGTCCCGCCTCGCCAATCCCACATACCATGCCGGATAACTTAGCTCACATCGTCTCTCAGACCCGGCAGAACGTCGAACATCTCGTGGCCGAAGGACAACTCTCGCGATCGGACGGGAATGTCATCCTCAACAGACTCCCTACCGCCAGCGATGTATCTGTGCGAGCTCTGTCGGACAGTACGCGAAGGCTAGTGATATCTGGGAACTCCACTTCGCTATCTCGGATGCCAGCGGGATTCAACAACCGCTCCGCAACACCGCCGGCACCAGCGCCCACTAGACGCACTCAGCCAGCGAAGGCGCTATGGTCTTACAACGAAGATGGAGCGGTGAGTATCGATGATGAGATACCCATTCGTCCGTCGTTCATGTTCCTTTAGGAGCCGAACGACCTCTCATTTCGAGGTGGCGACATCATCGTGATTACAGACGAGACGAACGCGGACTGGTGGACAGGTCAACACAACGGCCGCGAGGGCCTCTTTCCCGCTAACTTCGTCGAGAAGATAACCCGTTCTTCGTCGTCACCCGCTCGGGCTGCTGCCAGTAGCCGTGCCATTCCCGCCCAAACCCCGACGCCACCCAGCAGCGCTGGATACGCATCTCCTCCCCCTCAAACCCCGGGGTACGGAGCTCCCCCACCTCAGGGATACGGAGGTCCACCTCCACCTCAAGCTTACGGCGGCCCGCCTCCCCCGCAGAACTACGGACCACCGGTGCAATATCAGCCATATCCTCCGCCGCAACCGCCGCCGCCTCAAGGGCAAGTCGTCGTAGTGGAGGCTCCCCAGCAACAGTCGCGCGGCTTCTTCAGTGGCGGAGGCGGTGGAGGCGGTAGTGGTTTCGGCAGTCTGTTGGCAACTTCGGCGGTCGGTGGTCTCGGGTTTGGCGTAGGCGCGGGCATCGCTGAAAACGTCGTCGACGCCATCTTTTGAACGTAGTCTAAACGAGATTGGAATCTTCGCTTCGCTTCAAGCACAGGATGTACGGATTCATCTGTGGCGGGGTTGGATCGGCGTACAGCGAGGGAAGTTCCGAGTTACTGGGGTTAGGGTTAGCGGGCATGACGGCGCGCGTGCGACCGTCGAGCGGCGTGCGTCGACGCGGGCGCCGGCCTTGGTCACGAACCGCGAGCACGGCGGTCACCCCCTTCGTCTCATACGACATAGCACACATTTGCATAGAATTGCCGGATACCCTTCTTTTGTCTCTATCTAGACTCCCGCTTCCTCCGCGTTACCTTATCGATTGCTTCGCATATGCCACCATTGCACTTGCTGTTCATTCTTTTCATCACTACGGTGGTGAAACGCACAAACGACTGCTGCCTTCTTGTGGCAGCGGGCATTTATGTTGCAGATGGCACGCATCCCAGGTTTTTCTGATCGGCGCTCTGACCAAGATTCCTAACGCCTGTTGTTCCCATTCCATCACATTCGATAGCCCGGCTGTACATCAGTGTCTTGTTCGTTCCAGGACCTTATAATCATTCGCGTGCACCACCCGCCCTTGCAACTTTACTTAACCTGCTATACCAAGCCCACCGAGCCATCATGGGAAAGAAGAAAGACAACGTTGACGAAGACGACGTCAACGTCAACGTCAACGACCTCGCGGCTACTACATACGCGAACATCGCACGACTGACTAGGATGGGCTACATCGCTCCTGACCACGCTAGGTGGGCGTTGGGCATACTTCCTCTGGAAAGGAAGGATAGGTTCCTGGGTTCCTGGGTACGCAGAGGTCTAAAGTATGGCAGCTCATCTCGGTGGACTGACTTTTCGTTTTACCGGCAGAAGCAGGATATGAGGGTACTAGATGTGGACAGCACCGACACAGTGAGGGTGCATAGGTTACCGTATGATTCTGAGAGGTGGCGCTGGGTCTGCCACAATGAGATGGCCGACGGCTGGGTATCACTCCACGACCTCCGATTCACAGCAGCGAATCCCGCGTCCCAAGACTCGGCGTCAAGTAGCAGGCGCACAAGATACGCCGAAGAGCCACCCGCTCCTACGGCCACCCGCGGCAAACGTGGAAAGCACAGAGCTCCATCCCAGGACACTAGCGTCGACTCTTTCTCAGATGCAAGGTATCATCTACGCCACCAGCCCGCCGAACTCGCAGGGACAGAGAATCGGTTCAAGGACCCTCCTTCCTTGGAAGAGTACCCGAGGAATGCAGCCTCGTACTACCAGTCGTCGCGATATCACTTTGTTCCAGAGGGATGCATCGACAAGTCCGGTACTGGATGTCGGAGAGAGGTGCGATCATCTGGATAGGCCGCCGTGACAGAGTACTGAAGACAGCTCTGTCGTAGGCTGATATTGCCCACGGTCGTCTCGAGCAGCGAAGACACGCGCAACAGTCCAGACAGAGCGATAGGCGCCATCGCAAGCGTACAAGATTTGAAGACGACGAACAGCCTGTGGACGGTGACCCTCCTCGGAGCCGCAAGAAACGCATCGAGTCCGGAGATGACACCGCCGAAAGCGAGGCTGCACATAGCCTTTTGCAGCTGAAAAGCTGAGGCGCGACGATTGTGATTGGCAGGAACCTATGCATACTGGAGTTCGGCTAGCGCTCAGGGCATTGAGACTCGGGGAAGACTACCAGGCGAATACCAAGGACTCAACGGATCTGCACGAACATTGAGGGAGTGTATGTGTACAAGTGAAAACAAGACTAGGATACTGGATATGTGATGGCGTATTGTTGTACAAGATGATAGTTGATACACTAGGCGTATTTTCCGGATTACATGCCATCGATACAGATAGGGGTGAACTTCTTTCATGATCGTACATCTTCTGTTTTGATCTACGCGAACGTCGGCGTGTCGAAGGTACCCTCCGGGTCTGAAAGGAGCATCAGAATCGGAGATCGGAGGTAGAGCGATCGGAGAACATACCCTTGCCGTTCTCGAGGATGAACTCCTTGTCCTTCGCCACAGCATGCAAGTACTCAGCGGCGCGGAGCTGAGCGATGATCTGCACCTTCGGGTTGTGAAGCGCGCCACCACGAACAGCCTCCGCCGCAATGTGATAACGATCGGTATGATTGCTGAGCATCATGTCGAACGGACTCGTCGTCGTACCCTCCTCACGATAACCCTCGATCTTGAAACGGCCGAGGTTCGGGCGACCGAAGAGCAAGCCGCGAAGCTCAATCGGGTAGCCGTGGTAGTTGACGATGACGGGGCGGTCAGCGGTGAAGAGCGCGTCGAAGTCGTTGTCTTGTAATGCATGAGGATGCGAGGCATACGGTCCGAGGATCATCAAGTCGGTGACGTTGACAATGCGGACGCGCAAGTCGGGGCACGTCTTGCGGAGCAATGCGGCGGCGGCGATGACCTCGAAAGTGACTTCTACGCCGATACCGACGAGAACACTACACATGATTGTCAGTTATGGATGCTCGACGATGTGAGGGAATCAAACGTACACGTCAGGGTTGACACCTTGCTCCGTTGACGCGAACTTCCACACGCTAGCACCTGCGATGCAGTGCGCATCGGCCTCCTCGGCAGAGAGCCAGACGGGCGTGGGCTGTTTCGAACCGACCATCAAGTTAACGTAGTTCTTCGCGCGAAGGCAGTGTGCAACCGTCGAGAGGAAGCAGTTCGCATCGGGTGGCAGGTACACACGCGCCGCCTCCGGACGGAGGTTAAGAACCGAACCTGGAGCCAGCGAGTCAGAGAAGGTGTCCAAGAAGGTAAAGATCTGTGCGAAGGACTCACCGATGAAGGCCGGGTTCTGGTGCGAGAAGCCGTTATGCTCCTGGCGAGTCCAGGTGGACGTCTCAATGTAGTTCAAGCTACCGACGGGCTGGCGCCACGTCGTCTCGCGACCCATCTTGACGAACTTACTGTACTGGACCATCATAGTAGCGACGATACCCAGGAACGCTTCGTAACTGGGGAACAAGCCTATCAAGATGTAAGCGATCGGACTACGGACAGGCAGAAGACGAGTATTACCAGTACGGCCAGTGAGCGTGTAACCCTGGAGCATACCCTGGCAGGTATGCTCCGAGAGGATCTCAACGACACGACCGCCTTGCCCGCGGCTCGCCTTATCCCACTGCATGTTGCGGCCAGAGTCGCGCAGAACGGCATCGAGCTTGTTCGAGACGAGCTCATCGGGCGAGAAAAGACGGAAGCTCTTGGGGTTGCGCTCGATCACATCGTGCAAGAACTCGCCGACGACCTTCATGCAGCTCTGTTGCGAGCCCTTCTCCACGGCTGAGCGTTCCCAATGCGGTACGTCAAGCGGGATATAGCCGCCATTCGCCTCGACACGCTGACCGAGCTTCTTTGCGTTCGACTCGGGAACAATGGAGAGTATCTCCTGCGTCGGCTCGCCAGTCTCGGTGAAAAGCTCCTTGGGCTTGTAGGAGTTGAGCCATTGGCCAAGGGCGGAGAGTTGTTCGTGGTTCGACTTCGCCTCGGGCAGTGGTACTTGATGCGAGTGGAAAGAGCCTTCGATGAGCTCGCCGTGGAAGGACTTCGGGCCACCCCAACCCTTGGGCGTGCGCATAATGAGGACTGGCCAGCGGGGCTTAACGATGGGGTTCCCCGAGCGTGCGGCGTGTTGGATCTTCTTGATCTCGGTGACGGCCCATTCCATAGACGCGGCAAGATCTGCGTCGATGTTGTCAAGGTCCTCGACGAAGCGTACTTGGTATCCGTAACCGCTGAGAAGGACATCAGCAAGGGCAATGAGCGTGGGAAAAAAAGCTCGCACATACGTGAAGAGAGCAAGCATCTCCTTGTCGTCCATCGTGCCGTAGATGGTACGCTCGGAGATCTTGAAGCCGTTGACGTGCACGATGGGGATGACAGCACCGGACTCTTTGGGGTCGATGTACTTGTAGCCATGCCACGCGCTATGGTCGATGTTAGAGATGCAGGGAACCCGCGGATGTTCAGTCGACGTACGTAGCTGTAGGGCCAGTCTCTGCCTCGCCGTCACCGACAACGCAAGCCACAATGAGGTCGGGCTTATCCATAACGGTACCGAATGCGACACTCAATGCGTAGCCGAGCTCGCCACCTTCGTGGACGGCACCAGGGGTTTCGGCATTGACGTGACTGATAAGATGAGATGCGTTAGATAAGATTCCCCGGATTCGAAGTGCTTCGACAGACCTGGGGAAGCCACCGGGAACAGAGAAGGCGTAGATGAGCTTCTCAAGACCAGCCTTATCCCGGGTGTAGTCGGGCATGAATGGTGCGAGCGAGTTCTCTAGCCAGAGGCAAGAGAGGATGGCCGGTGCGCCATGGCCAGGACCAACGATATATAAGGCGTCGAGATCAAGCTTGCGGATGAGGCGGTTAAGGTGCGTGTAGACGAGGATAAGGCCGGGACAGGTTCCCCAGTGTCCTAGCAAGCGGTTCTTGATATCATCAGGTGATAAGGGGCGCTCGAGAAGTGCATTATCCTTGAGGAAGATCATCGCTGAAGAAGAAGCATTAGCTACATTGTGTGTAGCATCGAAGTGCGAGAAAGCTTACCTGCGGCGATGTAGTTTGCGGCGCGACGGAAATTCTGAATGGCCTTCAACTCCTCGGGAGAGAGAACGCCATTGAGATCGAGTTTGACGCTGAGGCTCAGGAGCTCGTCAGGCACTGGGGAAAACCGATGTTCAGCGAGATGTCGTATAGACTAGATGAAGATGTTCACGCACAGAGCGACGCATCGGGAGGCGGGTTCGGCCCGTCGAGTTCTTGAGCAGGCATGTTAGATGGGGTGGAAGTTGTAGAGTAGGGAAGTATGGATTGCAGGTACGGAGCGCGACGGTGGCACCGTCGTGTTTTATACCGTGTGCTTACCCTGCGCATGTGAGTGAGCCATTGCAACTGTCCGGAGAAGTACGGCTATTGGCGGCGGCCGAGACTGGGGCGAGAGGTCTCAGATGCAGAGGGGGCGGAACAGGGAGGATCCCGTGGTCAATTATCGGCGTCCAGGCACTTCGAGGCGATATCTATACAGGATCTAAAGCAGGTCCTGTTTATTCGCTGGCTACTGAGTTCTGAGTGCCGGCCGGTAATGAGAGTGTGCTGTTGCGGTCGAAATCCTGCTTCAGCGTTGAAGTAGTTGGTCGCAGCGTCATGCCGCGTCATAGATTGCGCTGTCGTTTGGCCTGCCTGCGCTGTAGGCAGCCATTGCACCACCGCTATAGATAACTCCCATTCGTTCTAAGGAACACACATGCGTGCGCGGAAGATCTTTGAGGGTACACGGTGCACAGTGGCGTTGCCTGGCGTAGGCCGCGGAAGGCCGGACCAGTGGTGGGCTAATCCAACCTGCGCCGGGACGGTCACCGCGGGGCGGCTTCCCCACGTTCGTGCGCGCTGTGTTGGCGCTGCGAGCCTCCTTGGCTTGCTCTTGGCCACCATGCACTCGCTCAGGCGTCTCGAAAACCGTACGCGCGCATCTCTTTGTGGCGAGCAACTATGCCTATGCGGGAACCTGAACTAAGACCGACTCCTGAACATCATGCGTGACATGGCGCAGATGACGCAGGTTGCGGCGCCGTACGGGTATAATACTCTCCGACGGATATCGACCAGTGCGGTCCTTCCTCTCGTGCTACCAATACACATTCGCGAGAAGTATACTATCACGCGGTATACTGCGACTATAGACGAGTAAGGCCTCGGTAAGTCTCGACTCGTCAGCTGCCTCTGTTGATCGGACAAGAGCCGCCTTGAGAGGCTACGACTGGCTACGACCGCTCTACATACGCCGTGACTGAGAGGCTGTGGCTCCGGTCAAACACAGTGATCGGATCAATGCATACCTCTAGCAAGTTCTGACTGGGCTGGACGAAGCCTCGCTCACGACTATTGCAGACCTCAATACACCCAGCCTTTACTTCAGCCGCCCGTCTTGTCAGCTGAAAACACTTCCGCCGTACCTTGAGAAGCCGTCTGAAGGTCTATAACACCGGCGCGGTAACCCCCACATCAGATTTCTAGCTCTTCAACTACAACATACGACATGGCTGAACGCCCCGCTCCTCGCTCCGGCCTGATTCTCTCAGTCAATGCGGGGTCTTCATCACTAAAGATATCCGTCTACCGCCTCTCTCCGCCCGGAACGTTCGGAGAGCCAGTTCAACTTCTCATTGACGCATCGCTATCCTCTATCAGCAAAGATGCCACGTTCTCGTTCTCTGCGGCCGACGAAAGCATCAAAGCCGAGTCCTGCAAGAACGAACCGGCGAAGGACGTGAACGACCACACTACAGGTTTCGCTTACTTCCTCGATCATCTCAAGCAGGCGGCGGGCATAGACCGCGAGAAGATAGTTCACGTCTGCCACCGTATCGTGCACGGTGGGAGATATCACACGCCTATCCTGATCACCGAGCAAGCGTATCACCACCTCGAGCGTCTTTCCGACCTCGCACCATTGCAAGTCGCGCTGCTAATCAGACACCGCTGTCACTGACAATCTTTTCCAGACACAACGGCGCAGCTCTCTCGGTGGTCCATGCCTGCATTGACGCTTTGCCGCATGCAAACTCTATCGCATACTTTGACACGGCGTTCCACCACCACATCCCGCCCCACGTCGCTTCATATGCGATCGACCAGACTATCGCGCGCAAGAAAGGCTTGCGCAAATACGGCTTCCACGGGTTGAGCTGTACGTGCACCTGTCGCCGTCGCCGGAGCCTAAGCTAACCGCCGGTAGATGCATATGTACTCAGAGCTGTTTCGCAGTACTTGAAGAAGGTTAGCTCTTCCTACTTTTCTGTACGATCCTGCGTCGACACCCTTGACAGGATAAAGAAGACACTTCCCTCATCGTTTTGCATCTCGGATCCGGAGCCTCCGCCTGCGCCATCTATCACGGTCATTCACGCGATACGTCCATGGGTCTAACTCCCGCATCTGGCCTACCGGGCGCAACACGCGCCGGTGCGATCGATCCGACCCTCATCTTTCACTACACCCACAAAGCCGGGAAGATCACCCACTCTAAAGCGGGCATGCGCGACGTCGGCATCACCGAAGCCGAAGAAATCTTAAACAAGCGCTCTGGGTGGAACGCGCTAGCTGGTACCACGAACTTCGCCGACATCGTCAAGCGCCGTGAGGAGGACGAAGGCGCCGCACTTGCCTTCGATCTCTTCGTCGACCGGATACTCGACTTTGTTGGCGCGTACTTCTTGAAGCTTGGTGGGCAGGTCGACGCGCTAGTGTTTTCCGGTGGTATTGGAGAGCGCTCGGTTGAGTTGCGTGAGACTGTTGCGCAGCGATGCGAGTGCCTTGGGTTCGGGTTGGATGCGGAAAGGAATAAGGGCGTGGATGATGCTGAGGGAAGTGTCATACCGATAGGCGAGAAGCTATTGGTTTGTCGCACGGATGAGCAGGCAGGTCTGTCTCTGCGCGGCTGGCCACTATACTCACTTCTCCTCAGATCCAGATGGCGCGGGAGTGCGCGCTCGACATCAGGTTCTGGGAAAACCCGTAATGTGACCAGCGAAATCGAAGATGAGAAACTGTTTCTACAGTGTACTCTGTACCGTTACCTTTTTGAGTGTATTTAGTACTGTTCTATTTCACAATGTACGCAAGTCCATGCAGTACTTGCCCGCGGACTCCAACCTTCAAGTTGCTTCACTGGCAGACACGCCCGCCTCATTCCTGGCCTTACACCATACCATTGGTCTCTCCCGGCAAAATGCTCCATGTGTAGACGTACGATACGAGCGAGTCAGTTGCAAGCAGCCTAGATAGTTCTGTCCGCAGTAACCAGTTCGCCACATCGGGCGAGCTTCGGCGATCTTGCGTCGCGCGGCGGCAATTCCCGAAGCTTCGGGCGTCTTCTACGCGTCCTCCGCCTGTTCTCGACCACCATGTCGCGCTTGCGCCGAGCTCTCGAAAGCTCTGTCGGTTTCGTTTCTTTCGTATACAATGACGCATTGCATGCCGCCTGTATCGCGAACATTCTGCTCGCGCAGGTATAAATACAGGGTCCATCGGGCTCGCCGTTCTTCAGCATAATTCACATTCACCTTCGCGCTCACCCACTTGAACACAAACACTCTACGCTTCTACCACAATGTCGCTCACCCACTTCTTCTACGAGCCTTTCTACTCCCTTTCCGACTTTGATCGTCTCTTTGACGAGGCGTTCCAAGCGCGCAATGGCTCCAGCCGCTCAGGCCAAGTCGCGCGCCAGAACTCGTCTCTGAGCGCCCTACGCCCCAAGTATGTCATTTCCCTATATTCTCCACCTCAAGCCGCCGTACTTACGGTTTATCTCAGGATGGACGTTCACGAAGACAAGGAGAAGAACGTCGTGACTGCGATGTTCGAGCTCCCGGGCCTCAAGAAGGAGGATGTCAGCATCGACGTGCAGAATTCGGTTCTCACTGTCTCCGGCGAGACCAAGGTCGATGAGACGAAGGAGCAGGACGGCTACGCCGTACGCGAACGCCGCTTTGGCAAGTTCTCGCGCTCTATTCCTGTGCCGCAGGGTATCAAGGAGGAGGAGATCAAGGCGTCGCTTGACAATGGCGTGCTGAGCGTGAGCTTCCCGCGCACGGCACCTGAGGCTCAGCCAAAGAAGATCTCCGTCGCATAAAGCCTTGAAACCTGCTCTTCTCTTGCTGTCGGGATTGTCGTCTGGTCTTAGAATGGAAGTCGTGTTGTTTTGGCGCATGATGTCGTAGTGTACTTCGTGTTTTGTTTTGTTCTGTTTTGCTTAGCTTCCGCACATTGCTTTCAATTGTTATGTTTCCTTCTTCTCTCGCATGAGCAGTCGTGACAGGAACAGGTTGTGTAGCCTCTGGGGGCACTCAAAAGTCGCGAGCGATACCGACGGGCCGCCCAGGCGTGCGTCTACCACGATCATGTGAGTTAGTTAAGTACAAGTGTCGACCGCAACGGCCGTAAAAATGGGCTTGCCGATGTACGCTGCAGAGATCGGCACCGATGGCCGACGCGTCGGCCGTTGACAATGCGGGTCCCGCCGGCAACGCCGCGGACTCGCTTTGCCTCTGACGACCATGGTCACTACTTCGAGCTCACGCCTTCCCCATGCACTCACATGCGTGCACTGCAACTCGGCTTAGTATGTATATATTGCTTCAGACCCCTGAGGGCGCACGCTCGATGCTTGCTTCCACCGCCGTGAAGCTACTGTATGAGAAATATCCCATGTCTTGAAGTGTAGACTGGTGGGCGATGATGCGGATTCTGCCTTCCGGCGGTGTATCTCCACATCTATAGAGGCCACAGAATGCGACAATCATATGCGTTGACCTTCAGCGCCTAATGGGATTGGCCGGTGCCACGCGCGCGCTCTCAGCTTCTCATACGATGCTCACCCGCCGATACTGCAGAGATTCCCCTGAACCAAGCTATCGATGCTTCTCGTCGCATCGACTGGAGTGGATATAGGAGAAGTGCTGCTGTAACAGCGACCACTGGCTCTCCTAGTACATCGAGGAAGTCAAGGAAGAAGTTCCCGGTAAGAACCTCAGAAGTCGCGACGGCGCGCGCTCGGAAGTGCTCACTCTCACAGGTCAGGTCCGCCTTCTAAGAAGCGCGCGACATTGGCCTGTGCGGATTGGCATACAGTACAGCAGCACAAAGGCGCCATATACCTGCTCGATATGTACCTGCGAGCCTTCACCGCCACAGCCCTCAAGCGCGCGTCTTCGAACATGTTGAACTCCCTTCTGAGGCGCTCGCTCTCGGGATGATATGGCATCCAGCGCTCGATGCGGCGCGTCAAAGCCTGCAAGCGCTCAAGGTGCCACACACAGTTCGCGCTACCCGGCCCACCTTTGAACAGTCAAGCTAGCACACTGCCTACTGCGCTCGCTCCTATGTCATATGTAGGACTAGGAAACGCACATGTCCCCGCCACAAGCGCTCAATCGATGTGCAAAGTCTATGCGAGTTGCAGCACAAGGAGGAAGAAGCACGACCACAGAGGCTTTGCAGATCCCGACGGTTATCGGCTCTACGAAGACGCGCTAGCGCTGCCTCATGCTTGGTCTACACCATCTGCAGACGCTGACTGGGCGTTCGAGGACGTATGTGTGCTAGATCATGGACGCAGTGTTCAATGTTGGGTGGCAGTTCCGTGCGTAGGCCGCGGAACGTACGGACTCGGGTGCACTATCACGATGTAGAAGGAGTTATCATTCTACGAGTTTCGAACTCTGTGTAGCGCAGAGAGACGAGGATGTGCATGCATACGTGTTGTCACTCAACAAAGACCGAAACCAGGCTCAATAGTTAAGTGACTGATACAGAAGTCGAGTAGCAAGGCATATCGCAATCATTGTAGTCCTCGACGCAGACTATAAGCCATCGTAGTAAGTACAAACAACAAGCACATACACCACACCACACAAACACGTTCCACCTCATCCATCTAGTCGAGCGTCTACGCGCGCCACACACAGGCGCTCCGACGACCAGAAGACGCGGATATGAAGCGCCCCATCCAAATCAAGCATCCCAAGCGCCCGCCCGAACGCCGGCGCCAAACGGCTCCATCCCACCTAGCCAGGTCCTATGCCCAACGGCCAATCCGCGCACCTGCCCCAGATGCCCAAATGCACAGCGTTCCTGAACGATCGAGCGCGCGCCTGTGCTAGCGCCGGGGTATAAGAATGCGAGTGGTGCCGACGCGCGCGGTACATGCAGTTCTCGCTCTTCATTTCTTCATTTCTGTCCTGCTTCTTCCAGCTGTACCGGGTTCGGCGGCCAGATGTTCGGGGATCTGCGGCTTCTTCTGGATTACTATTCAGTTTCTTGAGTCGGGTGATTCGGTCGCGGTGCGTGGTCTGAGTATATATAGGAGAGAATCGCGGTCTGATGAGGTCTGGTCTGGTCTGGGGAACGATGTGCACGGAGGAAGGAGAAAAATGATACAGAGGGGAGAGGAAAGCATAGGTGCGTAGCAAAGCTGGATCGAAAACGGAGGTTGATAAAGCGAAGCGAGCAGAGCAAGGCGAAGAAGCATATACAAGCGAGAGCGAAAAGCCGAGTGTGTGTATCCCAAGGAAATCGAGAGGTGTGTTCGAAGCGATCTCGACGCTAAACGAGTAAGAGCGTCTCCCCGCCGCCGAGTTCGTACACGACGCCGCGCCAGGAGACCTCTTCTTGTCCCGCATCGCGCCGTTGCCAAACGAGCTCCATCACTCTTCTCGCCTCGTCGCAGTTCCCGACGCCTTCGTCCCGCTCGCGATCAAGACGCTGCAAGACTATCTCCCGCTCCCATGCATCGTCCGTCAGGCATCCCGTCAGACATATACCGAACACAACGCTCCGGAGCACGCTGCTCGCCAGCGCACTCCTAGTAGCCGGAATAGCATTCAGCGCTGTGATAGCCTCCTGGACACCTTGACGTATCTCGGGCACACGCGGTTTGTCTCCAGACACCGTCGCGTGCAAATACACCTTGGCCGTCGCACGGAAGATGTTGGCCGTGAGCCGTCTACGTATACGCAGTTCCTCGGCCGGAGTTGGCGGCATGCCTGCCAACGCGCTCGACGGAAGCACCGGACTCCGCGCGCCGAGTAAAGAAGCCTGTATGCGGTGCGCACGCTCAACGAGCTCGGGGATGCTCAACGCTCCCCGTCCCCTCTGCGAATCGCGCCAAGCGGCCAAGGTAGCCGTCTCAGCGAGCGCGAGCGCGGTACTATTATCCGCGCCCATTACATTCAGCATGCTTATTTCATCCGCGTTTCCACCGCCCAGAGGCGACGGCCCGATGTACGCTTGCTGAGTCGGACCAGGCGCCCACAGGTCGCGATACGACTGCAAGAACCGCGGCGCCTGGCCGCGCGTAGTGCTCGCGAGAATGTCAAACCAGAATGTGGTCTTGATCACGAATCTCTGACTGCTCGTCGCCGCACGTAAAACGGCGGCGGGATTTCCCGGTGCCCGTGCGAGCGCCGCTGCGACGAAGTCTGCTGCGACGTTCAGGAATTGGCCCCATGCTCCGCGACCGCCGCGGAACAGGAAGGCTGAAACGACGAGAAGACCGGCGAGAGCCTCTTGCTCCGTATAATGTGCCAGCCCCGCTTGCGTCTTCTGGAGCGTGAGGCAGATCCGAGCATACGTGGAGTTGTCCTCAGATGTACTGCCGGAGGTGATGAGGGCTGCGGCGTTATTGGTGTTTCGCCGGAGAGATTGTTGATGGAGCGAGGCGAGCAGGCAGACGGCGTCCCGCACTGGTGCGGAATGCTGTATCGTCCTGACGATGAAATCCTGTATGGAGGCGTCGGCGAGGAGGTATTGTCGGTACAGCACGTGTGTTAGATAATGCTGGACCAATCCATTCTGGGCGTCCGTCACTTGCGGGAAGACATTTACGCTTAGAGATTGAGGGATGACCGCCGTCGCGTAAGTTATGGCTGCGGGAACGTCGTAACTCGCGCCCGCGTACGGCCCTGTGAGCTCGTCTTCGTCCACGACGTAGGTTGTCGAGTACGATGCCGGTAATGTCGATGCGAAGACTAACTGGGGCTCGACGAGCTTGGTGGAATACAGGGCAGTAGACGATGATGGATTACCATGCCCTGCAAGAAAACACGGGCGTTGAGTACAAACTATACACACAAGGATACACATAGCGAAATGCAAGTGGCAACAGACGGGGGAGGAGCAAAAGCAGTTGGGACGACGAACGAGGAGCAGCGGGAGCAGCGATGTGGATACAGTTCACGAATAGCGATACGGGGACGATTTGACGATGGAGGATGACAGATGATGATGCGAGTGGTGGGAAAGCTGGGAGGGAGGGGGAAGTGATAGTGAAGCGTAGGCGTTGTACGAGTACGAGTCGGGGTCCTGTTTGATGTAGACCTTCGACGCACCGTAGCCGTCGGCCACCGCGCCGGACGACGGCGGGGGCATCTGAAGCGAGTGATAGGCCTGGGAGACCGAGGACGACTGGGTTCGGTACCGATCCTGGGATGGCGGTGCCGACGGGGGTGGCGAATCGCTCGATTCGGACGACTGCAGGTCGTTGTCGGATACGAGCGTGAGTGACATCTGGGCTTCGTCGGCGCGTCCGTTTGTACCAGAATGGCCCTTGATCATGCCCTGCGCGGCGAGGAACTCTTTGATCTTCTCGCGGAAGACGCCGACATTGTTGTTCTCCTTTCCAAATCGGATCCCAAGTCAGCGACACGCCACACGACGGCTGACAGCTTCCATGACGATACCTTTAGCCATTCGGGCCGCTTCTGTCCAAAGCCAAGGCACTGCAGGCGTAATCGGACGCACGTCGCGCACCGTCCCTTGTCGTCCTGCGCTTCGTCGCATTTCTGTGTAACATTGTCCCCCGCATCAGTCCAGCGTCTTTCGCCACAGCTCCACCTAGTATACGCACCTTGCGCCGTATGCGGCACGTGTAGCAGCCGGACTTGGCGCGCACGGAGCCCTTTGCCTTGGGCGGACCGCGCTTGCTGGGCGCCTTGGACATGGATAGTGGCGGCGAGTGTGTTTGTGCGTGCGGAGACGCGGGGGACAGCGAGGGAGACCGAGTGGCCATGGCGAATTGTTGGCAAAAGTATTACAGAGTATACACAGCCTGGCCCCCCGGCCGTGGTGGCCGCTTGCGAGCTTATAACCGCCCAAGCCTGCGAAAGCTTTGAATACCCTTCAATCCCATCTGTCA